CCCCCCCCCCCCCCCCCGCCCACTCCCCCCTCCCGAGTCTCCGTGGCCCGAGGGCTTACGTAACCCCAAAAGAACCTAACTTACCTTTGTCTGACTTTCTATTGTGATGTCCTTGTAGCAGTCCTTAAAAGGGTAGGTCATGCGGGGTTAAGGTAGCTTTTAAACCTTTGTGAGAGTTCTTATAGTAACAAAACTAACAGTACTAATAATACTCTGAGGCTCTTTGCGATTCAGTTTCGCATGAATTCCTCATTGTTATTCAGAACCCACTCAAAAACACCAGGAGTTCTCCAAGCTCGTCAAGTCCCCGAAGCTGAAGCTTCTCGGAAGGAGTCATAAACGGGTTTAGGGTTTAGGGTGGGCTGAAGGTTTTTGTTTGCTTTTAGGCTGCGTGGACTTGCCCCACGTGCACACATGTTTTCGTGCACTCAAGCATGCACGCACATGCGCACAGAGCTCGGCCGCTTCAATCGCCGAAAGCTTTGATCGTTTCGGCTTTGCACACAAGATGGAAAGAAGGGGTGATTTAGCCGGCCATGGGTACACCGCACTGTTCAGGATTTATTCCCGACCCAACAGCCTAAGCTTATCCCGAACCTAAACCCCGAATGCCCGCATCCCAAGCCCGAAAAGTCTTAAGTTCTAACGAACCCCTTAGCTCAAAAGGATAAAGCATCCCGAATCCTCTTGATCACATGCGAAGCCACAGCAGAGCCCCAAGCCTTGAACATTGCCAGAAGTCCTAACGCGTAAGCCTTGCAGTCTGAAAGCCGGTAGTCCCAAATCCTAAACCCTGAACCCTAAACCCCTCCTCAAACCCGAAACTTCTGGAAGCAGTCGCAGTGGCAGTACGAGACACCCAAGAGCGGTGCTCTGTCTTGACTAGCGTCATGGACCGAAACACATATGCTGCTTTCGAAGTCCTTTTCCTTAGTTGCAAAAAAGCTCCACCCTAGCAAGGTCGGAGCGAATCCAAATTTTTTCTGGGTGACACATACTTCGACGCCTAAGCTGTCGCATCCTGCTGATCCTTACATGAGTCGCGACACTAGGCTCCCATTACAAGCTCGGAATGCCTTAGTGTCGTTGACCAAACTCGAACACGTGTCTCACCTCCAACCGGCCACGCACCGAGAGAGTCCCAGCGTCATCTCAACCCTCTAGGTTTCCCTTCTAAAGGAACCCTCAAACCCACCTAGGTTTCCTCTAAAACCCGGTGTTTCCTCCTTTCAAGGAACAATAAAACCCCCAACACCCCCAAAGTCCACAAGCCCCTGGCCCTAATGTAGGGGTCTAAGTAATTTCTAAGTAATTACCTATACTATTCTAAGGGGTTCCGTATTATCATTATAGTAGACTGGTCCACAAAACCCTATTCTAATTTATGAAGGCCCCTATACTATTTTTAAAGGAACCCTAGTCCAAAAGCAGCCCCTAGGTTCTGGATGAGCCAGCTGGAGCTCGAGTATCACGATCTGCTCAGCCTCTTCGAGTTCTTGGCTTCCTGGCTCGGTGTCTCTCTCTCTTTCTTGCTAGCATGGTGTGGGAGGGTTTCGGGTTTCAGCTTTGCCTTGGTCCGGCGCAGCGGCGCAGTGGTGGTCTTCGTCATGGCCCTCGGAGGGATCCTTGAAGGCTACTCTAAAGAAATCTATAAGGGCCGCTAGAATGGATCCGAAAAGGGCTCCTAAACGGGCTCGTATACGGGATCCCTTAAAGGGGACTTCCTCAAGGAGCGTCGTCGTGGTTGTGGGATTGGGGGTTTGGGAGGTGAGGTTGCAAGCTGTGCGGTTGAGCAGATGCATTTGGGGCCCCGTTCCTGACAACCTGAAGCCCTAAGCCCAAAACCCCATAAACCCGAAATCCCTAAACCCTAAACCCCCAAACCCGAAAACTGGAACACCCTGAACCCGACAACATCAGTCGAGCTTCAACTCCCTGCGTCTCATCTTGCGCAAGGCCTGGGATCCATCGGATCCCTCGGCTCGTGAGGTCCAGGGTCGGTTCTTTCGTTCCTTAAAGGGATCTATAAGGTTTCCTTAAAGGGATATGTAGGGGTTTAGGGTTTAGGGGTTTTTATAGGGTTTCTATGTGGGTAGTTCTCTAAATTAGGGTCTCTTTTGGCGGTTCCTTGAAGGGATCTCTAAGGGGTTCTACAGGTATAGCGGTTTCTATAGGGGTACTACAAGGGTTCGATGTGGGTAGGTCTCCAAATTAGGGTCCCTTTCAGGCTCCCGTTTATCAGGATGCCGCCTTACTATCGGTTCGTAAACAGGGATCCTAATTTAGAGAACTGCTCATTTAGGGCCGAAGGGTTTAAGAGCAGAAGCTGACATTCATTCACCTTAAACCCAAAGCCCTAAACCCTTCTCCAAGGACAATGGGGACGGCGAAATTACGCTGACCGAATTCATCGAGGGTGGCGGTCTCGGTTCCTTTCTTGGGCTTGAGACTTGCAAAGCTTCGGCCCTAAATGTTAAAAGATGTCTGCCGAGCCCCAAACCCTCTAATCCCTAAACCCTAACCACGATGACCGAGTTATTAGAGTATACTGTTGAGAGTCGAAGCACCAAGCCTCTGTCCTCAAGTTGTTAGAGCTTCGGCTGTGCATCCTGTCATGTTTAGACATGCACACTTTTTCGATCGTTCGTTGGAGCATGAATCTAGCTGCCTTTTACAGGGCCTGAGCCTATGATGTAAGATCTTCCAGGAGGGATTGTAGTTTGAGCAGCTTTCATTCCTCCCCTGAACCCTAAGCCCGAATTAAGCCCTAAGCCGTAGGCTCACATCCCGGCATTCATGACCCGGTCCAGCCGCGCTGCCCTCCTTTGCTCCCAGATCTCTTTGAAGGCGGAGCCCGAGCCTGCCCGAAAAGCCTTATATACGTGAATATATAATAAGCCCGTTTCTTATGTAATTGTATATGTCTGTGCATATGCAAATGCATGTGTGTGTGCGCGCATGCAGATGTAGATGTAGATGTATGTATTTGCATATGTATATGTATACGTATATGAATATATCTACATATACCTACATACATACATACATACATACATACATACATACATGCAGCTATACAGTTACATACACTTATACAGATAAATACACACATACATACATACATACGTACGTACGTACGTGCATACATACATATACATACGGATTGGAAGTATATCCGGAGCCCCCAAACAAACTCAGGTGCCGCTCGCCTCCGGGGTGGCGCGAAGGTGCGGGGAAGGGGATAGCCCTGCGATGGGAGCGTCTTTGCTTGGAGGTTCACGGGTCGGTATAAGTGGGGCTATAAAGTCGGGCAACTGTAGTTACAAGCCATATTCGGGGACTTATATAACCCCTCTTATGACTACCCATGAACCTCCAAGTGCGCCCTAGGTTTTCAAGCAGCCTGGGCCTGTTCAAGCCCCAGACCTCCCGCAGATCAAACATGGGGAGCATCAACCAAGCACGGCCCTGAATGTTATTCGCCGTTATGCCATGCTACCTTGATGCCAAGGCCCGAAAAACCGTCGCCCAAACCTTAGATGGAGAAGTGTAGCAAAAACCCGACCGTGAATCCCAAACCCTAAGCCCCCTGCGTCAGAGTCAGAGTGTCTCTGGCTTCCCCCTGAACCCCTGACACCTAAACCCTGAACCCCTAAACCCCTTAACCCTGAAAACCCTAAACCGAGTCTCTCTGGCTCGATGTCTTCTCGAGGCCCTGGACATCTGGCGAATGGAGACGAAGCTGGAGGCCCTTAGGGGATTATAGTAAAACCCGAAAAGTTGGCAACCGGACTAAGGACAAAGAGTGCTAGGATTCCCTATACATTACTTTTAAGGATTGAGGCTATTGGGTTTCGAACTTTTGGACTTCTGCGGTAGGGGTTTCGGGTTTTGGGGTTTCTGGTTATTGACATAAGGGGTTTTCAGGGTTTTGGGAGGTTTAAGGCTCCTTTCTTCGAGTTTTCGACATACTCGGTAGCAGTCTCCAGAACTACTTGTCAAAAGCCCTGAAACGAATGGGTGCAATCCTAGCTGGGGTTTCGCGTGAGAAGGGGGTTCACCAGGTCCTCTTCGAGGAGGTGCTCACGATCTTGAACTTCATCAAAGGAGGTGCCGGGGACACAAGAGCATCGGGGGCCTTGGTGCTGGAGTTTCTTGACGATTGGGGTGTTGTGGAGTCACTGCTTTGCGGAATGTGCGCGTTGACCATCATCTGGAGTGGTCGGGTTTAATGTCTTGAGTTAGCGAAGAAAATGTACGAAGCACGGAGAGAGCGCAACGACCAAATGATCGAGCAATGGACAGAAGACCGGGGGATAAAGCGGGAGAGAGGCACCGGGAAAGGAGCGACAACATTGCAGGTGCAATGGTTCCGAACGACCCCTCCATATCGGTGGTGCAGGCCTGGCCGCGGGACATCGCGGGACCAAGACAGCAATTGAGGTCGCCAAAGTAGAAGCCTAGTCGAAGAATGCAGGCTCCTGCGACATCGATTCGGAAGACCTTGAGCCCAAAAAGCCACCCCAATTTAGCTCATCGGTTCAGAAGCCTGGCTTGCACCGGTTTAGGGCTGCGGACTTTGAGGGTTTAGGGTTTAAGGCCACCTCCGACACGTGTGCAGGACGTCTTCAACAACTCCTTGCCACTCGACCTCAGCATGAGAAGCTCCTGGCTTCTTCTGGCAGAAGTGGCCTTGACAGTTCAGGGATGTGACATCTGGAAGAGTACGTCAGGAAGGCGAGGAGGGGGCGAGAACTAGCAAGCGAGTTATCCGGG